GGGTCGTCATGAGGCTAACATTTTAGGTTTCACTGCGCCTAAACCGCTGGACCGATTGAGTTCAAATTTTGTGGGTAGTTACCTGTTAGGGAGGACTTCACTTTGCAGGTGTTAAATTTGACCCCCACCCCCTTGAACGCCCCCACCCCCCTAAAAACGTTGTTGACCATTTTATGCTTCTGTACGAGCCACATGAGGTGCTGTGCGAAAAACAATCGTTTCGGTGGCTGGGGGCAGCCTCCAAGAACAACCCCTCCAAATTTCAGCCCGATGCTACTAATAGTTTTTGTCTGAGAGACTTAAATGTGATAGGACGTGATGCCAGCAGTTTGGCGTTTTGTCTGTCTGTCTGTCTGTCTGTGACTTTGTACTCACCAACGATTCTCAGCAACTACAGGGGCTATAGTTCCAACATTTCGTATTTAACGTCGTCTTAGTTCCCCCCAACACGAGTTTGTTTCAAATCGTTGTTTAGTATCGTTTGAAATATTCAAAACATCGTTTTGAACTCGGTTATTAGCGTTGTTAGGTTGGTAGCAGTGTGTGGCTGACCAATTTCTCATACCTGCTGCCGCGCTTGCAAGCGTCTGCAAGACGGGACGGCACTTCTGCAAATAAAACAAACTGAAGAGCAAAAGGGCTCTCAAATAGGTTCTGAGTTAGTTTTTCAACGTTCTAGAATGATTAAAACCCTTCCGGAGGGTAGTTCTTTCTCAAATCGCACGACCCCCGAAATCGATGTCTCGGATTCGGACCAAACTTGGTGGACTCATTGCTTGGGTCACCAAAACCAAGTTTCTGACCCCGAAAATTTTTTTTTTGCTCTAAAAATATTTTTTTCCCCTAAAAGTATTAAAAAATGGACCAAAAATCGAATTTTCGTCCAATTGACCCTACATTGTGCAAAGTTGTTTTTTCAACGTCTTTTGATCTTATTTCATCCTATTTTATCCTATCCCACTCAGAAATGATTTTTAACACCACTAAAAACCATGAAAAACGACAAAATTTTAACGTTTTCTTGAATACCCAAAAAATGCATCCGAATTTTTTCATGAAAATTTGTTTTTAAATTCATCTTTTGGTCCTCTAACATGTGTCAAAAAATTGGGAGAGTTAAATTTGAATTGCCTTTAAAATAATTTTTTTCCACTTTTTTCAAAGAAAATTTTTACTGAAATGACTCAATTTATCAAGTTTTCAGCAAGACTATTCAAGTCTCATGGCTCCTGGGTCCTCCTGGATGGGCAGGGATGTTGGAAATGTATTACTGAGTAGATAGTAGCTTCAAGATGTTTATTTTTAATTATTTTAGATGGTTGACAGGCAATACCGGTAAGTTGCCCTAGACTCCGGCCCATGGGCCCCGATCCGACCCCGACCCGGTCCCGACTTGGCCCCGACCCGGCCCAGACCCGGCCCAGACCCGGCCGAGACCCGGCCCAGACCCGGCAAAGACCCGGCCGAGACCCGTCAAAGACCCGGCCGACACCCGGTCGCCCCATAGGAATCCGGCAAAGCCTTGGCTAAGCCCCGGCAGAGTCCGACCGACCGGCCAAGTCCGGCCACGGTGTAAGAGTGCACCACCCGAAGAGTGGTCTACCTACACTGTGCCCGGCGGAACCCGCCCCAGTCCGGACTTACGGTGTAGGGAGACCACTCTTCGGGTGGTGCACTCTTACACCGTGGCCGGACTTGGCCGGACTCGGTCGGACTCTGCCGGGGCTTAGCCAAGGCTTTGGCGGATTCCTATGGGGCGACCGGGTGTCGGCCGGGTCTTTGACGGGTCTCGGCCGGGTCTTTGCCGGGTCTGGGCCGGGTCGGGGCCAAGTCGGGACCGGGTCGGGGTCGAATCGGGGCCCATGGGCCGGAGTCTAGGGCAACTTACCGGTATTGCCTGTCAACCATCTAAAATAATTAAAAATAAACATCTTGAAGCTACTATCTACTCAGTAATACATTTCCAACATCCCTGCCCATCCAGGAGGACCCAGGAGCCATGAGACTTGAATAGTCTTGCTGAAAACTTGATAAATTGAGTCATTTCAGTGAAAATTATCTTTGAAAAAAGTGGAAAAAAATTATTGGCTGAGCGATAGCGAAGCCTGTTACTCCAGTGGGGTTGAAAAGTTTTGTCTGTCTGTCTGTGTGTCTGTGTGTCTGTGTGTCCGCACTACTCCTCCTGAACGGCTCGGCCGATCTCGGTGAGATTTTGCACACTTCTTGGGTATGTCCTTGGCTCGGCACACGCGAAATTTCACCATCCTAGCTCAACTGGTTCAGTTTTTATAGGCGAAAAACACCTAAAAAACGGCGAAAAATAGAGATTTCTGCAGATAGACCACTTCTGTCTTGGAGAGAGGGGGGTCTGGGGGGCGGAGCCCCCCAGCTACGACAAGTTGAAAAGTGACAAGGGTCAAGATCGTGTTATTTGTAGATAAAACAACTCTATTTAGAATGTAGAGGGGTCTGGGGGGCGGAGCCCCCCAGCATTCAACAAGTTAAAAAATAACCGACAACGGACAAGCCATTGCCTGCCGCAGGCAGGCTAGCGCCGCAGGCCAAGGTAGGTACGCCAGGCGTGGATTGGAGGAGCAGGCAGCGAGACATCGCGAAGCCTGTTACGACAAGACGCGGTCTGGCGTAAACCTACCTTGTTTTAAAGGCAATTCAAATTTAACTCTCCCAATTTTTTGACACATGTTAGAGGACCAAAAGATGAATTTAAAAACAAATTTTCATGAAAAAATTCGGATGCATTTTTTGGGTATTCAAGAAAACGTTAAAATTTTGTCGTTTTTCGTGGTTATTAGTGGTGTTAAAAATCATTTCTGAGTGGGATAGGATAAAATAGGATAAAATAAGATAAAAAGACGTTGAAAAAACAACTTTGCACAATGTAGGGTCAATTGGACGAAAATTTGATTTTTGGTTCATTTTTTAACATTTTAAGGGAAAAAAAATATTTTTGGAGCAAAAAAAAATTTTTGGGGGTCAGAAACTTGGTTTTGGTGACCCAAGCAATGAGTCTACCAAGTTTGGTCCGAATCCGAGACATCGATTTCGGGGGTCGTGCGATTTGAGAAAGAACTACCCCGGAGTGTCAACAGAGGAAAATACGAAAAATGAATGTGAGAATGGATTGCGTGTTTCGTACCCCTCTCCCCCCTTCCCCGTCACAGGGGAATCTGCCTTCAGGTCAGTGCACTGTGAGTGTAGTTGTGGATTCTAACTAGAATGTTTTCTTTGCCTTTGTGTGCATCTACTGATTTTATTCTCTCTGATACTATCCTTATTTTTAAATTTCATAGTAAATCAAATCAGGTAAATGCATGAATAACTTCTGTTGAAATTAGATGACATGTTAAATGTCTTGGTTTGACTCGGGAAATGACATTCTATTGCAATGCTTCATGCTAACATAAATATTCTAGTTCTAACATCTATTGACTAAAAGAATCCATATATAGATGTATTAAGTGCAATAAATAATCCATCTATTTAGTGCTAGCAAATTTTGAATTGATATTGGGTGCAATGAGACGATTCAGGTTTTGAGCGTTAGGTGACTTGGTAATCTGATTTAATGAGACGATTTCTCCCACTTCACCAAAATTTGTGTCCAACAACTGGAACTAAGTATTGGTAATGGTTTAAAAGCTGGCTCTCTGAGCGTAAGCCCAATGCCCAATGTTAATACCATACTGTCATCTTTTACTCCAAAGATAAAATATCACGAGACATGAACAAGATAAATTATGTTGGCGTATTGAGCAACAAGTGGCCTCTGCATTGTACTTCATGAGACGATTCACTGAATTTGACAAAACTTGGTCCCCGTCGAATGCTTCAGATCAGCCTGCCCAAAACTGAGTCACTTCATATAAACTATGATTACATATTCCAGTCTTTATTATTAAATTCACTTGTTTAAAATGAAAGAATGACAAAGGGCTTCTCAAATAAAACTAATAAATTTGTGAATTCATTAGTTTGAAGAAAAAGATACATCGAATAGTGACTCAAGCAGACAAGAAGTCAATTAAGCGATTCAATGCTGGCAATGGAATGTTACTCGACTGAAGGAATCGCATTGGTGTGGCATTAGGGAATTGGTGACGACAAAGGGTGATCCATGAAGACCAACCCAGACCCGTACATTACCCATAATTAACCTGTTTTATATCAATATGTTTCAATTGGATCTATTATTGATTCTTGCAGTTTTTGGGGGTGCTGATCATGAAAACCACTTCCATTTCTACGCCAGACTTGTATTTTCACCCCAAATTAGGTCATTTTGGGCCAAAATTTTCAAATCGAGATTTATATTGATTCCTGCAGTTTTTGGTGTGCTAAACTCAAAAATGGCCTCCAAAGCTTTCCCAGACTCACGCTTCACCTAATTTTGACCAAATTTGGACCAAAATTTTTGAATTGAGTTTGATGTTGATTCCAACAGTTTTTTGTGTTCTGTTAACGAAAATCACATCCATTTCGACTCCAGACTTCTATTTTCATCCCAAATTAGGTCGTTTTGGACCAAAATTTTCAAATCGAGTTTTATATTGTTTCCTGCTTTTTTTGGTGTGCTGAACTCAAAAATCACCTCCAAATTTTTCCCAGACTCACGCATTACCGAATTTTGATCAATTTTGGACCAAAATTTCGGAATCGAGTTTGACGTTGATCCCAACATTTTTTTGTGTGCTGATAACGAAAATCACTTCCAGTTATACCTCAGACCTACATTCCACTCAATATGAGCCCACAAACTGCGCATTTCGTCTACTTAAGCAAAGTCCGAAGTGCACAAACTCGCATCGCTCAGCCACACTACGCGCCCACACTAAACGGCGCGTACCCCTAGTACTGTTGCTCGGTTTTCTACTTCTGCAAGGTATTGTTTTATATAAGATTTATTTATATATTTGTGTATTCATTTATTACTTTTTACTAAAGTTCACACTTCTGATCATTGTTTTTATTTCCTTACCTAGGTGTGACTTCAGTGAAGCCAATGTGTGCCGACAAATTGATGAACACATTGAGACTATCTGTGAGACTGCCCCAGAAGTAGCCCATGCTGCACAAGCTGTTCAACCCCTCCATGTCTGGGACACAGTTAAAACAAATCTGCAGTTCTTGATGGACAATTGTTCGGGTACTTGGGACCGAACATGCCTAGACATTTCTGTCAATTTGATTGATGCGCTACAAAAGCGCTTACCAGCCAATGTGGATAGGTCTCAGTTAGCACCCTGCACTCCTGTTAAGCTGCAGCAACGTCCTCAGGGCATTGAGAACATAAGGACACCAGGTATGACAATTACTGTAACTTGTTAAATAAAAGTAGATTATGGAAGACAAGGGAACTTACACTTAATTTTGTTTTTCTTTCTGTTACAGATACTGTCCCTCGTATGGCCCCTGATGCTATCCCACTTACTCCACACAACATGAGAGTTACTCCGCAGAGAACACCTCAGCGCAAGCCTGCATTCCATTCCACAAAGAACGTAGCTGCCAAACGATCCTTGACTCTTGGGAAGCCAGACCAAGCGGAGAGCGAGACAATTTTAGAAACACTCTTGAGTAACGGACAGAGAACATTGCAAGTCTGTAAAAATTTGGTTAGGTGGCCCATATAGTTTTTTTTTTCATATTTTCTAATTGTGCTTTTTTTCCCTTCAGAAAACTGACACGACTGACATGGACGATAAAATTCATGACGCTGACTTGAACGTGGCTGTCGAGAAGCTCTCCTCAGTGGTCCTGAATTTTGCAGGAATGAAGTTCACTGAGGAGGACTAAATGAAAGTTGTTGTGCCAGATTCATTGGTGAGTCCATATAAGTTCATGCATTAGTTAAAGCTGTTGCATGAAACCATCATAGCTTCCCTGAATTGCATTTGTTTTCTCCACTCATTAAAAGTAATTTATTCCTCTTTTTTTTCAGACTCGTATTCCTTTTACAAACTTTATAGCTAGTCTGGACACAGTGAAGCCTGGTGAAGTCGGCGATTCTATGTGTGTGAAAAATCTGGCTATACAGCTCTGGCCAGGGGATATTTTGGCTGGGCGGAGCTCAGCCAACAAAGAAAATAATATGAGGGAGAAGCTTCCAGAGTGCACTCCCACCAAGAAAGAGTACTTGCAAAGTATGTACACACCACATTACCTACGTAATAGTATGTGGTTTATACCAAAAATACGGATAACCATTACAATGCCTCATTTTCTTGCAGATCTTATGAAGTATAGGCTGGATAAAAGTATACCAACAGTGGACATCAATGATCCAAAGAATAAGAGGAGGGTGTCCACCCGAAACGTGAAGAAAATTTTAAGAAGGAAAATACAAACCGTAAAAGCAGCTGTTGCAGCAGTTCAAGCGAAGAACACAACTTAGACAATTTGCCAAGTATGTATTTGTTACGAAGGTCCTCTGGTATTGTTCCTAGTTCTGTTCATTGTATGGCCAGCCTTCACCAGACAGCGTGAGCGATTCTCACGTTTCGGGGTAGTTTTGGCGTCTCTGATTTGCCGAAAGTGAAAAATATCCAATTAAGTTTTTCTGATTATTGGGGTCCTGGATGATACTAGAGTTATGGCAATGGTATTTATAGTAAAGACCTTGTACTACCTTCCTAAAAACATGAGCCATAAGGTATTCCCACACGTTTTAGTGGGTGTTTTGATCACGGAAATTACGTTATCACGGATGTTACAAAGTGTGAAAATCGGCTTTAACGGCTGACTCGGGCTTGCTGTGGCTTAAAAGTCGTTCCAGGGTCAAATGATACTCTAAGCCCGACATTTCAGCGGAAAATTTTTTCACCTAGTACTGCTGCAACATTGGGTAAAGGCTGCCACGGAAGTTACAGGTAATTGTTGATACACGCCATTTTATAATACTCTAGTCCGCTTTGAGACCGTGTACAGCATCTTAGATTTCCGTGACCCATGCAATTATATCCCAGGGACTCCACTTTGATGGCTTGCGTCATGGAAAGTTAAAAGTTTGGCTTGGGGAGAAGTCCAGAGCTGCCTTTTCGAAATTAGTGTAGTGAAATTGAATACACGGAGGACATTTTTCGTTGCAGCATAAGTACCTTTGAAAGAAGTCTGGCGTGTTGGTCTTCGGTTGAAATAAGCTCGAGACATGCCAAGCTTCGAATCCCCATCGACAGTTGGCAGCATTTTCGAACCACACCGCCACACTGGGGGCGGAAAGTTCGAGTATGTTCTCTTTGGACAATCACGGAAGTTACATTTAGGGTATTCCAAACGCTACGTAGACCAATCCAACGAACGTGAACTTTTCGAAATGTGTGCGTTTAGTGGGCAATGGCCCTCCCTAACATCAGAAACAAACTCCATGTCGATATCTGCGCTCGTTTGGGCACAGGAGTCAGAAGAAACGAAACTACCCCGTAACGTGAGAATCGCTCGCCTATGTTACAAATACAAATCCTTTATTGCTAATGCAACTGCGCTTATCCATCAAAAAGTTGCATTATCATATTTATTGTACCAATTTCAAGATTTCTACAATCATTATTTTCATCATGAATTTAATGAAATGTTATTCAAATCCACTTCTACCACTTCTAGTGGTTTATGGGTTTATGGGTACCCCACTGGGATGTGAACCCGCGTCCAAACTTCTCCGATTTGCTTGAAACTGGCACCGTTGGTTTTGTCTCGTCGCCCCGAGTATGCCAAGGGGTACCCAACTCAAGATAATCATTGCACGTCTAGTTGGTAATCAGTGAAATAATCAACATCATCCAATGAAATGACAATCATACTTTCGGGGATTCAATCACTTTTGACTATTTTTGCGAGACCACTCCTCCCAAACTATCAGCGGTCAAAGCCTTCCCGAGGCGGGGCGTAAAAGAGAAGGGCCTTCAGAATAGTAAGGCGTCGAGGGAGGCCTTTGACCGCAACTAAATTGGATGCAGTGACCGCTCAAAGTTAGCAAAAACGGTGATTTTCTGAAATTCATTCACTTTTTGACCATTTTTGCGAGACCACTGCTCCCAAATTATCGGCGGTCAAAGCCTTCCCGAGGCGGGGCATGAAAGATTAGGGTCTACAGAATAGTAAGGCGTCGAGGGAGGCCTTTGACTAAATTGGGTGCAGTGACCGCTGAAAGTCAGCAAAAACGGTAATTTTCTGAAATTCATTCACTGTTAGACTATTTTTGCGAGGCCACTGCCCCCAAATTATCAGCGGTCAAAGCCTACCCGAGGCAGGGCATGAAAGAGTAGGGTCTTCAGAATAGTAAGGGGTCGAGGAAGGCCTATGACCGCAACTAAATTTGACGCAGTGGCTGCCCAAAGTCACCAATATTGAATTTCCGACACTTTAACAGCTTTCCGAGGTCGGCGCTCAAATAATCCCCAATATTTCCCAATATTCAACATAATAACCTCCTATAATCTGTGATAAATGATAAAATAATCAAAAGAAATCACATGTAATCATACTCTAAATATAATCACACTGTAAAAAATTAGTTCGTAAATTTACAAACAATTTATGGGTAATTTCGTTGCACAAATTATCTGTAAATTTACAACGTCTTTTTGTTTCTTAACGATTTATGAATTATTCTTCACGCAGTAATTTGTAAAATTACAAACTTTTTACACGCTCCAAATTACGTGGACCGCTTTTGTTCTACCTTGTCACGCTGATTAAATGGAGATTAACTTATTTCAGCGTTTTTGTTTTGTTTTATGAAACATCTTGTAAAATGATGAAGGCATCACCATATCTCGTAATCTTACAAGCGATTTGTGCAACGGAATTACCCAAGCATTTGTTGTAAATTTAGGAAACTTTTCATGTTTTTGTGACATTGTTGTAGTATTTTAGTCACGTTTGAGATGTATTTTGATCGTACCATTTCATAAGGCGGTGTTCACAAACAAATTTCATAAAATTAAGAAGATTTCTGAGATAAATAATTCATAAAACGGCCTCTACGAATAAATTTCATAAAATAACGAAATGTTATTGTTACTTTACAGAAAAAAAAATTCGTAAATTCACAATAATTTTTTACAGTGCAGTGTACATGAAAATCTTGAGTTTGTTACCCCTTGGAGTATGCATCTGGAAGTGTGTACTTGGTCAATGCACTTGTTAATGTGTACTTGCTAGTATGCATTTGTATAGGTATACTCAGTAGACAGTTAGGTTTATAATGTAGATAGTAATTTGGATTCGTTCGGCTATCCCTGGCATACGCAAATGACCCTATTAAACAACAGTAAATCTGCGAAACAATATTGTTCCTAGACATTAATGCACACCAATGTTCTGTTTCTCAGATCTTAAAGGTCTATATCCCGATCAACTATCAACTTCGCGAACTCATCGTGAGGGCCATGGTGGTAAGCAATTATCAGTGCAGGCTGGATATCACGACTTGAGCTAGACGAAAGGTGGAGACGAATGGAAGAAGTTTCTTCACGAACATGGCCGCCGTCAGCTGATCGGCCCAATCAGAGACCGTCCGCCATGTGCGTGAAGATTCTTCTTCCTTTCTTCTTTCTCTTTAAAATGGAAACTTTGGCTCAGCCTTGAGTGTTAACTTTACCTAGCAACCTGCAACTCGACAGGGGCGTAAAGGAACAGTGAGCCGAGGGGTTCGTATCTTGAAATTTTGGCTGGGAGTTCAGGAGCGTGTCTGGTGCGAGGCCTAAGTGCCGGCAGGCGGCCAGCCTCGCCCGGGGTGCTGTCCGGGCTAGAGCAGCGTGATTTTCGGAAGGTGCAACGGTGAGCTGAGGGCGACGCAATTTGGCGACGCAAGGCCACCTACCTGCTGCGCGCTGCGATACGCCGTAGCCCTGGACCCTCGCCTACAAGCGAGCGGACAGAAAAGTAATCTGCAATCACTTTCCCGTTGTTTCGAAAATAGTGTCAGCCGTGTGAACTGTATCGGCCCGAGTGCTAGGCAGCACGTGCCACTAGGCAGAGCAGGCAGCCCGTCCCTCCCGGTGGCGCAGCCTAGCGGATTTTAGTTTCGTCCTCAGCGAGGGCCTTCTCTTTGAGCTACAATAGCCTCACTTACTACACTCCTCTCAGATTAACAGTCCAGGAACGCCCCGTACAGCCCGCGGAATAATTATTAAATTGTGTTTTTAGCAGGCCCAGAACGAGCCGGTGCCGGAGCCGGAGGAGGATGATGAGCCGGCACAGCCAGAGATCGAGATCCACTGGGTTAATAACCCCTTATATCAACAGCCATAGTCAACTCCTCACATTCCACTTGGGCAGATCTCTTCGCCGCTGGCGGCTCATAATTTTCTTCGTCATAGAATCAGTTCAGGAAAATGTTTTCTTCATTATTTTTTGTTGCAATATTTTCATGTTTGGTCACTGATAATGTGTGAATAGCATCTAATGTTAAAAACTTTTCTTACCCCTGTGTGCATGATGCTAACTACTAGAATTTTGTCAAATTTCATTTCACCGATCCTTCATGACTTTCCTTTGTTCCCTAATAACAAGTGTAGTAGTTTCTTGTTCTACGGGCTCTGTGTCATGTCATGACTAACGAAAATGAAGGTTCTTTTTCTAATTTTTTGGGAAAATTTTTGACTTTTTTGGATGCTGAGAGAAAGGAAGAATTAGACGGTAACACTGCAAGAACAAGCTCCTTAGTTAATGCTCCATTTAACTTTCCTCTGTTCCCCCTTACCAAGTGAAGAGGCTTTCTGTTGTGTCATAATTGTCAACACTGTCTGAAAAAACACGATCTTCGTCAATGCTGCCGTAGTTGTTTTGAAATTTCT